AGATATGAATGTCAGCAATAGGGGTGGTCTAGTATGAAGGAAGCCACAGGAATTCGATAGGAAGGCACCGTAGGAAGCATATAGAGCATAATTTGAGCTACTGGCAGAAATGAGTGGATGGACAGAGGAGCAGAAAGCAGTATGTCTGGCAACGAGGTTGAAGGAACAACTACTGTAAATACTTGGACAGTTGTCAGCAGACGACAGATACAACTATGGAGCACTTGTAGCGGCTCTAGAACTCAGGTACGGAACCCAAAATCAGTCAGAAGTTTACAGGGCTAGGTTTAGGACGAGAGTCCGTGCTAAAGGGGAGGGCCTGCAAGAGCTGGCACAGGACTTGGAAAGTATGGCACACAAGGCCTACCCAACTGCGCCACCCGATTTCCTGAAGTTGTTGCTGAAGGATCAGTTTGTAGATGCCTTGGACAGTCCATAACTAAAGATACAAGTGAAGCAAGCACACCCCCTCTACTATACAGGATGCAATGGCCAGAGCTCTTGAATTTGAATCCTACGTTAAGTCCAGCACAGAGGTACCAAGGTTGGTACAGTTATCTGGATTCAAGGCCAGAAAAGGTCAGCTTTCAGAGAGGTTTGGGGGACTTTGCTGCCACTGTAACAAACCTGGGTACAAGAAAGCTCAATGCCAAAAACTTCAACACAGGGGAGATGATACAGCAGGAAAGGCTGCTACCTAGAAAGGCTGTTGGAACTGTGGAGAGCAAGGACATATGAGGAGCCAGTGTAAGAAGAAGACCACCAATAAGTCACTTACATTTAACCAATAGATAATTAACAATAACTTAATTAAATGTACAGAATTTACAAACACAAAATTAAAATTCAAAAAGTCTCTTAATTTTACAGGACGTATCTTCTTTCGTACTGGTCTCTGTCTCGTTGGCTTCTGCTACACATGGGATTCATGTGCTCCATCAGGAAATGTCCCATTATCGGTAACAGTCACATCAGTGGTAGTAACGTCATTAACGGCTTCCCTGTTTCCTTCTCAAAACTGGGTACAGTTTTTTTATCAACAGTGGCTTTTTCAGGTGACATGTCTTCACCAGGGTAATTTTTTCCGTTGTTCACTTCGTTCCAACTGAAATGTCCTGGACTGTGATAATGCCGAAACCTGTTGCCATGCACAACCTTTGGCTTACCTCGCCGACCACACTTTATTTGGAAAGTCACGTCTGAGAGACGATCCACTATGTCCTATGGGCCTTCCCATGGAGAAGACAACTTAGCAGATATCCCTTTGATCTTCCTGGGATTATACAACCATACCTTTTCTTCTGGTACAAAGCTGACTTTTTATCATAACATAGCTTCATGGAATCAGCAGACGTTTTCAAGTTTAAATGCACTTGATGATGAATATCATCCATCCTTTCGGATAACACTTTCACGAATTCTGGCACATTTTCAGGCAACTCTTCTTAAGCTGGGTGTCCTGTTATCAGGTCTACTGGCAACTGAAGTTCCCGACCAAACATCATCTTTGCTGGAGTGTATCCAGTGGCTTCATGCTCTGCCGTTCTATAGGCCATCAACAGTGGAGGGAGTAAGACATCCTAGTGATTTTGGTGGCTATTACAAAACTTTGCCAATTCCTGTCCCAGTGTCCAATTGTACTTTTCTACCATCTCATCAGACTGTGGGTGAAGTGGTGTTGTCCTGGTTTTTCATATGCCAAACCACTTACAGCATTCATAGAACACAGCTGATTCAAAGTTACGGCCTTGATCAGAATGCAGTT